GGGGGGGGGACATGATGGGGGCTGGGGGCTGGGAATAGTAACAAGAAAAACACAGTAATTGAAAGCTGGCCAGGTGCCGACAGTACACTAAAGGTTCCACATGCATTGTACCATTTAATCCTTACAACCACTCTGTGTGGTAGGAGCTATTATCCAATTCTACAGATGAGAAAACAGAGGCTCCAAGAAGCCTTGTTTGCAAAACTGGGATGATGCTCCACTCAGGGGGTTATGATGAGGATTAGCACAGATGGTGCGGGAAAAATTCCAGAAAAAAATAGTAAACAATAAATGGTAGTTTTGTTGCTAATGCTGTTGTTATGAGCAAGGGAAAAGTGCTACTTTTTCATGTCCTCAAGCCTACATGTTCTGTGTGTGCCTCCACTCAGGGGGTTATGATGAGGATTAGCACAGATGGTGCGGGAAAAATTCCAGAAAAAATAGTAAACAATAAATGGTAGTTTTGTTGCTAATGAGCAAGCGAAAAGTGCTACTTTTCCCTTGTTATGAGCAAGGGAAAAGTGCTACTTTTTCATGTCCTCAAGCCTACATGTTCTGTGTGTGCCCAGCAGAGAAAGGACAGATGAGGCCCAGGTCTGCTCAGGAGCTACAATGGACTGAACAAACTTCTAAGATCTAGAAGGGTTCAGGCTTCTGGATAGAGACACAAAAGGCTGTCCAAGAAAGGATCCTGTTGGATAGTTTGGCCTTGAGTCTTTGTTGGCCAATGACAGGCAGGGAGGGAACAGCAAGCTGTGTACGCTTGTCGGAAAGAGCCTGTGTCTCTCCCTGGCTAGGCTCTGCCTCCATTCCCCACGAAGGGGCTTCAAGGCCCACCCACTTTTATTAGCTGTGGTCAGTAATAGCCTAATATCACATTCTTAGGACAATGGGATCTGAGAAGGTTAAATAAAGAACTTAGACTCTCAAGGTCACAGGATTTTAGGAGGCTGGTATAGAGAGTGTAAAGATTTTGAACAAAGGTTATAGAGTCAAATGGCCTTCATTAAAATCCTGACTCTACTACCACTTATTAGCTGTGACCTTGGGTAAGGTTCCTCATCGTCCTCTTGTGCCTCAGTTTCCCCACTTGTAAAACAGAGATAATGGTAGCACTCACATCCCTTAAGGTTGTTGTCAGTGTTAAATGATCACTATTCCTGGTCTGATCGAAGCTGGTAGAACCCAGTGTAAGAATCACTGACCAGTGGTGCCCAGTGATGCTCTGCACATGGTAACATGCAATAAATGCTCGTGGCTACTCGCACGCATGAAAGTGGTTGTAGCAGTGAGACAAATGATTACTGAACCTAAAATAATGGAGTCACAGAATCCTAAGGCTGGAAATCATAGGGCCTTGATGAAGGAGAACATCTTAGCCATACAACTGTAGTTTCATAGATTTAAAAGAGATCTGAAGAAATATCGAACCCAGTGATTTTCAAATTTTTGACTGTAACCCACTTGTAAGAAAAAGAATTAACATCATGACCCATTACAGACCTATGTGCATCTACACATAAAAAACTGGAACAACAGTTCACAAAGTAATTCATTCTTACTTCTTAGGATCCACCCGAGTTCTCTATTTCTTTTTCTGATGCTGGTTTTGACTCACTAAACCGATTTTACTTCCTGCCCGAGTCACCACAGTTTGAAAAACACAGATCTAGTCCAGTCTCCTTCCCCAAGCTCCAAGCAAGGCTACTGTGAGAACTCCACTCATCTAAGTCATAACAATAGTTTTAGATTTAAAATGATTTTAGGATCACATTTTCCACCCCTCTCCTCTGGAGCAGGGAAGTGTGTAGGTGGTGGGAGGAAGGAGGCAGGGGTCCCTTGCATACAAAAGGAATGAACTTCTCCTGGATCTCTGGGGTATTTTGAGACAGCAAGAGGAAGACCTGGGGCCCAGGCATTGGGTGTCTGGGTGGGGAGGAGGGAGGGAGGAAGGGACATAGAGGACGCAGACAGCTCAGCTGGAAACCAGACTGGGAGACTTTCCCCGCCCTGCCCCTGGCTCTGATTGGAGGACCACGGAGGGGCTGCACGCACGTGCCCTCGGAGCTGTTGCTGTTCGTGCTCCCGTCGGTGGACTCCCGGCTGCCCTGGCGCGTGACACGACTCCGCATCTCCACGGCGATGCCCGTCTCCGTGCTCCGTCGGATGTTGCTGCGCAGCTTCTTGGTGGCCGCTTCTGTAACCCCACCCCAAGCACAGAGAGGAAACAAGGTCAGATCACGATTGAGGCTTCTCTGAGAGCACTGCCAAGGTCACCCTCTGGTGGTGGGAGCAGCAGGACCGACAGGACTCTGATTGGAGGCAGGGCATTGCTGAGCTGACCTCAGAGCTGGTGTGCAGCCTAGAACCTGGCCCTGCTCAGGGCAGAGACACAGACTAAACAGGCTAGTAAGATGGGTGATGGTAGAGTCCCGATGGGGGTGGGGGAGCCACCCACAGAGCCCCAGCCCTGCAGCCTGGGGACCTCGTCCTGGCCAGGCTTCTCTGATGCTCACCTTCCCACTCAATTTCAGCCCTTGCCCCAAAGGTTAAGAGTCCTCCTCTTACCTCTTCTGGAAAGTGTGTCTTCTCTGGGATTTCCAGATTTACTTTCCCTCACAGACCCTATCACACACAGACCTGACAACCCACCTCTCTGATACCTTCACAGGCCCCATAAAACCGCCTGTGAAGCCTGGGAATACTCAAACTTCTGAAGGTGGGTCTGCACACAGAGAGGAATACGTGTGAAGAGCTGGAGAGGCCACGAGGGACGCAAGACTGAGAGAAGGGCTGCTAGAGTGCCCTGAATTGACTTTGGCTTTGAGATAAAGGTCTACAGAGGAACCCCAGAAGCTGTGCAGTGAGAGCCCACCTCTGTACCTCCTGCTCAGAGGCCCACGCTGACCCCCCTCCTCATCCTTGCAGGGAACACGGGCACTGCCCCTCTCCTGGCATCGCACCATCCTGCCTGGGTTTCCATGGCAACCTCCTCAGCATTGCAGTGTGGTCCCTCTAGACACCCTCTCCTCCTGGGGGAGCAGGCAGGGGGGAGTCGGGTTGAGGGTTTGCAGGGACCTCCCCTGCTGAAGCTTGGCTGCCGGAAGAACGTAATGGGGAAGGGAGGTGGCATTGAGACAGGACGTGTACCAAAGGAGCCATTATGTTGTCACTGGTTAGAGGCCCAAGCAAATTAAGAGTGGAGTTGCCCACAGGGATGGGGAGAGGCGAAGGGTGGGGCAAGCGCACAGCCCCTGAAAGCGTGGGGATAGGGGAGCTGTTTCCCCGCAATCCTCTCTCCCACCCACATCCAATGGCAGGCTGGGGAGGGGGTGTTCAAGACCCTGGCCTGGGGAAAGGAGGACTTTATTCCTCCTGATTTGCCCTACTTATCTTTCAGTAAGTCCCCACTCGGGGAGAGAAGGCTGAAAGGGCAAGTATTATTAGCGGATGGGATGGCAGGGCTGAGAATGGGGTGGGAGGATGAGGAGGAATGTCCTGGCCGAGCCCGTGGCACACTCGGGAGAGTGCCGCACTGGGAATACTTTAGTGCTCCCGCCGCGGGTTCGGATCCTATATAGGGATGGCCGGTGAGCTCACTGGCTGAGCGCCGGTGCAGCCGGTCA